GTTATCTGTTTATTAATTCAAAATATTATCTATATTTATAATTTTTTAAATTGTTACCTTGTAATATTTATATTTGCTTGTTAATCTTATGTTATCTGTTTATTAATTCAAAATATTATCTATATTTATAATTTTTTAAATTGTTACCTTGTAATATTTATATTTGCTTGTTAATCTTATGTTATCTGTTTATTAATTCAAAATATTATCTATATTTATAATTTTTTAAATTGTTACCTTGTAATATTTATATTTGCTTGTTAATCTTATGTTATCTGTTTATTAATTCAAAATATTATCTATATTTATAATTTTTTAAATTGTTACCTTGTAATATTTATATTTGCTTGTTAATCTTATGTTATCTGTTTATTAATTCAAAATATTATCTATATTTATAATTTTTTAAATTGTTACCTTGTAATATTTATATTTGCTTGTTAATCTTATGTTATCTGTTTATTAATTCAAAATATTATCTATATTTATAATTTTTTAAATTGTTACCTTGTAATATTTATATTTGCTTGTTAATCTTATGTTATCTGTTTATTAATTCAAAATATTATCTATATTTATAATTTTTTAAATTGTTACCTTGTAATATTTATATTTGCTTGTTAATCTTATATTTAATTTTGACAAAATCTTTTTATGACTGCATGTTTTTTGACTTCCTCTATATCCAACGGTTGTATCAGCCTGGATAAACAGAAATGAAATGAATGAATGAAAGTGAAAAAAAGGGCCAGTTTTTTTGTTTTTTATTTTTGGTTTGGCTATTGTTTGAATTGTTTTGTTCTTTTTATGTTTCTAGCTTGCTTTTATTATACTTTGATGAGTACTGGTTTTTCTGTAATATTTCTTCCATGGCTGTGATTTCTTTGGTTTTCCTTCTGGAAAGACTGGTTACTTGTTTGCTGTGGTAATTAATTAATTTATGTCTGAATATTTATGTTTGTTTGAGTAGCATAAATCATTAGAAATAAAGCATACTTTCTATTGAATTCTAGTTGTACAGAGTGATCTGTGACAGTGAGATTTAAGTAATGTATTTTGCTATAACCATATTTGTTTTGTGTGGTAAATTGTAGTTTTGAATTTATATTATGAAGGCCATGTCCTGGGCTCTTTTTTGACTTGTGTATTATACATAATCCAATGTCTTGCACATGTCTGAAACAAATGTATATTTAGGATGTTAATAATGTGCTTCTGTTCTACATGTAGGTGCTGAAAACTATTTAAGATAAAATGGATGATGCAGGAACTCCAAGACACAGTTGTCCAATTATGTATATTGTTGAGTATTGTGTTGGAAATGGTTTTGGCTTAATGCTGTTATTATTAAGCATAATAGTACATGCTATACTGAGTTGGGATGTTAATGTATATTTTTTAAATGCTAAAGGAACATAATTTTGTATGTCAGTTGATTTCAGTTTTGTTAGATCCTCAGTTAGGCTAATTGAATTCTTGGTGACAAAGCTATTAGGCAGCTGAATGTATGTTTTGAGCAGGTAAATGATGATTGAATTCAGGTAATGCTTGCTACAATTCAGTCCAGAACCTTTTGTCTTCTCATTTGCTGTCTAAAAACATAAAAATTGGAATATATGAAAATAGAATTTTGACTGTTGTTCTGTATGTGTGTGAAACTTGATCTCTCACATTAAGGGAGAAACATAGACTGAGGGTGTTTTAGAATAGGGTGTTGAGAATATTTGGACCGAAGAGAGATAAAGTGACAGGAGGTTGGAGAAAACTGCATAATGAGGAACTTCATTCATTCATTCATTTATTGTATATTCCATAAATCCATATACATAGATATAGAACCAGTCACATAGTTAATATAGTACAATACAATTATAATTATATATGTACATCTTATAATCATTATAATAGATAAAAAAACATGTGTTAAATTTACAGTCTTACATCACTATACATAAAATTAAGCAATATTAAAATTGTTTATGTTATTATCCTTATTTCTAGGCAAATTTGTTACTAAAGAATTCATCACATGTATAAAAAGAGTTTTGCAATAAAAATGTTGTCAACTGAATTTTAAAATTTTTCAAGTTATTAGACATAGATTTGATTTTTGGTGGCAAATGGTTAAAGATCTTTACCCCCATGTAACATATTCCTTTTTGGAATTGTGTTTGTCTGCGGATAATGCAGATCACAGATAGATCTGGTACTACAATTATGCATTTGTGAGTTGAATGTGAATAATTCCTTGTTTACTATTATAATAAACAGGGAAATCGGCAATATGTATTGAGCTTGTATTCGTCTCCAAGTATAATTAGAATGATCAAGTCAAGGAGTATGAGATGGGTCAGGGAATGAAACACAAATGGGGTGAGGAAGAATGCATATGGGATATTGGAGACCACTGGGAAGACTAAGACATAGGTGGGTGAACAATATTAAAATGGATCTTAGAGAGACAGGAAGTGATGATATGGATTGGATTGATCTGGCTTAGGATAGGGACCAGTGGAGGTCTCTTGTGAACATGGTAATGAACCTTCAGGTTCCATAAAATGCTGGAAAGTTCTTTAATAGCTGCACAATTGGCAGCTTCTCAAGAAGGGCTCAGCTCCATGAGTGAGTATTTGGAAACTGATTATGGAATTGCTTTTGGTACAATGATGCAAAATTATTGCTTATAAATCTGTTTTAATTTTTTTATATTAAACAAGTTTACATGACACATTTACAGAATTTTTTTTTCCTTGGCACTACAGCCCCAGTGGGCCTAGGCCTACCTCCATGAACTTCTCCATTCACTTCAGTTTTTCTAGATCTTACATTCGGTAGGACTCCTTGGGCGGGTGATAAGCTCATTGCAAGGCCTCTACCTGTACACAAACACAGAAAAACTCACACACACAAACTAAACATCCATGCCCTGAGTGGGATTCGAACCCACGATCCTGGTTTCCAAGCCATAGAAGACAGTACATGCCTTAGACCGCTTGGCTACCATGCCTGGCCTTTTACAGAATACCTACAAGAATATCTGTCTGATTTGCATGCCATGTGAGACTGGCACTAATAATAAATATTAAAATATATCCATACATTAGTTGAACTTGACTTCATAGCCATGTACTTGGCACTGGATAGAGTTGTACAGGAGAAAACATTAAATAGGCTAAGTTTCGTAAGAGGGAGAAACACTATTTCCACTAGACAGTGAATGATATTGAATTGAAATTAATCTAAGGCACTGTAATCACTCACAATACACAGATAAAATTTAAATTTTCATTTGTAAGATCTGTACATGCCAGTGAGATTTTTAGTGTACTGTGGTAATTTTAGTGTTCAGAATTTCTATACCCTTAGAATTAATGTTGCTCCTTAGTTTATGATGCCATAGATTAATTATCCACCTCTCATAGGTTCACATTCTTTCCTTTAATGATATTTTTATGATATTGCTGCTGCATTGAAACCTCTTTGGCCCTAAGTTCAACAAGATTTTGAGTGGTTTGAAGGTGTTGCTGCTTTTGAAAAGAAAATTGTCTTACTTGGGGAATTAATTTGGCTGCAAGTGGACCAGGATTATGTGGAAGAGCTTGTTCAGTCTCAAAACCAGGAGCTCACCACTGAGGATATGCAAGAACTGGACTGCTTCATTTAATATGACAGTGGGGAGGAGGAACAAGACCAATGCAAAACCATGCTTTCCTTTGAGATCAACGAATTTCTGACTGCTTGAGACACTGTAAAGAGATCGATATCCAGAATTCCTATAATAGAACAAACAGAGCAGTTACTCTGAAGTGTTGAGGAAAAGGGGATCTTCTACTTCAGCAAGTTATTCATGAAGGGGAGGAAGTCAGCAGAGAAGTTTCTTCAGAAAGAGACTAATAGTGGAACCATCAACTTCTGAAGCCAGCACTTCTAACGATCACCCAATTTTTATTTTAGGTTCTACTTATGCAGCTTTTAATGCTCTCTTTATTCATTATTTATCCAGGTTTTTATTCATATGACTCCTTCAGTATGTTCTTGTAACTTTTATTTATTAAAATTGTGTGTTTAAATATTATGAATTATGTTTTTTTTTTTGGGGGGGGAGAGGTTGACTATTGAGCATCTTGGAACAAATTGAGTTTTTAACATGTATTTTCTATATTTGATTAAATATAATTTTAGTTAATGATGCTTTTCCAGGAAACAATTAATATCCTTAACTAAGGATATTCTATACAAGCTATCTGTTTGGTCACAAATGATTTTTTTCTTTTCAGGTTTCAAACAGTATTATTATTCACCAGTTTGTAAAGGAAATATATCATCAGAAAGATTCAATATCTCTGCTTCCACTTTATCATTACCTTGCAGTCGAGAAAGTAGCATTCTCTTTCTACTGCTGATGCTGGGAACACTGTGGCTAAGTGTCTCTATCTACAACTTTAACAAAACGTTAGTGTAGACACCATTTGTTTGGTTTGGATCATGAGTGAACTTTCATAGAACTATATAGGAAATATTAGTTTTACTTTAACAATAGACAGGATGGTTTCAGCATGATTGTTTTATCAATGTTTCAGCCCCTACCTGCAAGCCAGTAAACGAGAAGCTTTGGCTGATTATTCTCTTCCTATGGCTGTCATCACTGTCAGCTTTATTGGGTCTTACTTCTTCGGTGATGTAGAATGTAAGTGTTGTGCTAAGTATTACAGGCATATTGATAAGCCACAAAAAGTTGGCCCAAAATTTGGGTATTCTTTTCATATTTCAACCCTTTCCATATTGAATTTTTGTAATAAAAATTCAATTTCCATGACTATATGAATCTAAGCTGAAGAAACCTAAACATGTCATAATGTGCCAAGAGATAGAGGACAAGATTAATTTTCAGTGATCATATGTATAAAGGATATTAAGAATAGAATATTTCAGTGTTACTGCTTATATTTCAATATGACATGGAAATTGTTAAAATGTAGAAAATGAATAAACAAACCTTTTATCACTCACATTGTAACCTAAAATATAGATATTTTAATATAATCCACCATAGTGTTTCCCACATTTCTTCTGCAACATTCCATCGGCATCAAGAATGCTGAAAATAGCATATAAGAATTAAAATCTGTTAATGAAGAAAGTCGTCTTCTGGGTTTAGGCACCGTGTATTCTTCGTTTTGGCCGACGTTTCGGAGGAACGTAGNTGGGAAATGAAGAGCTTTAGTATTTAGTGACTGATTTATTTTCCAGTTCACAGTGTATTATGTTGAGTTGTTTTGATTTGTAATTGTATGACTGACACTTTAATATTCAAAGCATACGTAGTATATTCTTTGAGTATTTGGTGTATTGAATTGAATTGAATTGAATTTATTTACATTCCGTAAATCCAGTACAGGTGAGACACCATAGGATATGGAACAAGTCAAGTTAGAATACATAATATCTATACAATAATACAGTAATATTGCAATTATATGAGGTAAATACTTATAATACACATTAAAATTTCCATTAAGACGTTCATTCATTACTCATTCCATTAATCAAGTGCGCCAAATTATAATGCATATAAAAGAGACAATTATCATCCAAAATTCACTTATTAAAACAACCAAAAACAATAGATTAGTCATATAATATAAAATAAGCATAAAAATAGTTGACAACTTCATTGTATATCTGTGACTGGTTCTATATCAGACTGGCGACATTTGTAACCTGTTCTTGATTGATGGAATATTACAATAAACTGAAACTGAAACTGAAACTGAAACTGGTGTAATAGTAAGAAATCTGACTTGTATTCTAGAGTTTCCTGGTCCAATTATCATCCAAGTTACTGACTATTCTGGCTAAAAATTGTCATGTTCTTTCTTGAATGAGGGCTCAGGTAATACCTCAAAATAGGTCATATAGTTTTTCTTCAAGATCTTAATCACCATCATGATATCTTCCCATCTTGTTTGATGTTGTATACCGTTAGCAGTAAAATATTATCATCAGGCAATCTAGGAATAAACCAACAGAACAGAATTTTATTCACAACATTAATTGCCAAAAATAAATTCTAAGAAATTTTCTGTATATATTTGTTTTTATCAGAGAGGATCCTCTTATAGACTGGGTACCAGGGATTTCTGGAGGAGGGGTAAAATGGCTGGGGCATGATGCTGGCCATCTGCCTCCATTTAATGTTGAAGCTCAGAATGCATGGAACTCTACCTCACTGTCCCATATGGCTCCATGACATTATGTTTAATGGACAGATGCAAATTTACCTTAGTTTGTGATGATATGAGTTTCAAAATATAGGTTGAGATTTTTTTTTGAGAATGTTGAGTATGTCAAGGACTGTGGGCAGTAAAAACTTATGCCTCATGTAGGTTCAGTTTCACCTGAGATAACCTTTTTGATTGTGCTTTTCATATCCATTGAAATGAATGAAATTGATATTCACAGTTATACCTAGCAAACTTATATAATCATAAGGATGAACATGACTTCAGAATTATTATGCTTCAGTGGAGCGCTTTCAGTACAGTGAGAGGCCTGTGTTCAACATTTCTCAACTCCAGAAATTGTCAACCAAAGCTGTACTTGGTTCGGGGATTCTTGGCTTTGCTTTGTCTGTCCTCTTCTTTATGGATCAAAACATCACTAGTGCCATGGTTAACAATCCCTGTAACAAGTAAGTATTTTAAATTATAATGTAACAGCATTAGTTATTTCAATGTATAGCCTATTTTCAGGTATATTAAAGGAAATAGTGTGTTATGAACTGCCTGTAATGATATATAAGCAAGAGAACATGTCAGATACAAGTAAGAGGAACATTTCAGCCAAGTACCCATATGCTTTCCAGACTAACTATAATTTTACACCTTGTGATTTTCTCCATTTTTTGTCTCTAATTTTTTAAGAGATTATTTATGATGTCTTTGGCAATTTTTTTGTTCCACTTATTAATTCATGTAGAAGTCTCAAGGTTTGTGGAGTTATTCTGCTTACTACAGTCCTGTCAGATAACATACTTAATACTTACTGCCTAATATGAGTATATTAACTTCAAAAAATTGTTGGGATATTCAGACTAAAAATTGACCTGATAAATTTTATTTTATGCTTTGAGTCTTAAAAGGGAAATGTAAAATGAACTGTAAAGGCATACCACAAATGTGTCAAGGGAGACCTGACCTTAGACAATAAATTCATTCATAAAAGCATATTTATGTGTTGTGTATGTGTTGTCAGAAGAAATCTTTTGACAGATCATTATATTGTCTTTAGTATACTAGAGAAAGAGTGGTGTATAATCAAGGGGTTAAATGGTTACCAACACTTTTCCTTAATCTAATTACTATATACTGAGCCTTTTACCTATTTCTTATGTTCCCTGTATCCTGGATTGTAACAGCAGTGGCTTTGGAATGCATTCTTGAAGTATGTTGCTTTCTTCACTTTTACTTTAGGTACAAGTGCAGCCCCACTGGAGACCTTCCAGTTTTGGACTTGAGCTTATGGATTAGTTTTGGCTTTGCATAATACGATACTGTCTTCATTCCAGAGTTTTAAAGAGTTGCCTTTTTCAGGATATATTATTGTGGAAGTCTACTCAGTAAACTGAGTCTGATCTTTATTCTCACAGACTTTTATTTGATTTGTCCATGTTTCTCTGGAAGACTTTGCTGCTTGAGCATGGGTTTATACATTGGGTTTCACCATGAGGCAAATCTTGTCTCTTACGCTCATACGAGTATCCATCCTGGGATTTTTGATGCTTACATCAATACAACCCCACAGGCCATCATGTACCATTCATTCCTGTTGTAAATTTCCAGTTTTAACAATAATTTATCATTTCCAGCATTTTCACTGATAGAAGTGAAGGCATTTTTCTTGTATGCACTTAACAATTGAACACACAATTCAGACAGATCATCACAGAACTCAGCATGGATGAATAAAAATGTAATACCCAAAAAGTAGTCGCTGTTCTGTCTACTGTTCACTGATTCCTCCTGCACCTTGGGCCATGTGGTCTTGCAGCACCCTAACTTAATTCACAAGGCTTCAGTCTTTGAAGAGAATATTGAGAGAAATCGACACAAACAATCTTCTGTACACTTAGATATCCTTATGTCTGAATTCTGGGCCCATAACCCACTGTGACTATGCTATGTGAAATAATAACTTCACAGATTATTTTGTTGATTTTACTATATGTCCATATCACCAAAAATAAGAACAGGAAATGCTTTACAGGTGTTTATTAATGGACTGCTCTTCTGGCAAAATCTGAGAAAGCAAAGGATCTAGAAATAGTTGCCAACGACTTCAATAAATTTTTTCTAACAGTTGCTGAGACCTTAAATTTACATCAGATGGGAAGTGAAAATGCTTTCTCATTTTTAAAAGATGCATTTCCCATAAATTTTCCTAGTATTAAAATCATTCCAACCAGTGAAGCTGAGATAAAGAATATTATACACACCATGAAAACAAAGAACTCATCAGGATTTGATGAAGTAACAAGCAAAATTCTGAAAGCTTGCTCTGATTTAATTAGTTGCCCTTTAACTCACATTTGTAATCACTCATTATACACAGGCATTTTCCCAGACCGTCTAAAAATTTCAATAGTAAAACCAGTGTTCAAAAAAGGAGATAAGTACAGTATGACGAACTATAGGCCGATTTCATTATTATCTACTTTTTCTAAGATACTTGAAAAGGTCATGTACAGCAGGATAAATCAGCATATGCATTGTAACAACATATTGGTCCCAGAACAGTATGGCTTTAGGAAGGGTGTATCCACTGAAGATGCAGCATTCAAGCTAACAGACAATGTTTTAAAATCAATTGACCAAAAAAGGCATGTAGGAGGAATTTTCTGTGATCTGGCAAAGGCTTTTGACTGTGTAAATCATGAAATTTTGTTAAGTAAGCTGCAATTTTATGGCATTCGAGGAACAGTGTTAAAATGGTTCAAATCCTATCTAACAAATAGAAAACAAAAGGTTGAGATAAAATCACCCAAATATACTCAAAATTTTTTCTCAAACTGGAGAACAGTAAAGCATGGAGTTCCCCAAGGATCTGTCCTGGGACCCTTGCTTTTCATAATATATATAAATGACCTTCCACCAACAATAAATTTTTCATCAGAACCCATAATATTTGCTGATGATACAAGTGTTATAATCTCTAGTAAAATGTTTGATGATTTCTGTGCAATATCAAACAGAGTACTCTCCCACATGAATAAATGGTTCAATGCTAACAGACTTGCCCTAAATTTAAACAAAACAAATGTAATGAAATTTACAACAAATAATGCCCCTCCCTATGTTTTAAATATTGGATATAATGGAAAATATATAGAAGAGACAGTAAATACGAAATTCCTTGGCTTGCAAATTGATAGCCACCTAAGTTGGTCGAACCATATAGATAAATTGATCCCTAAGTTAAGTGGAGCATGCTACGCAGTTAGAAGCATGTTTCATGTCAGCAATACTGAGACTCTCAAATTGATTTATTTTGCCTATTTTCATTCTGTAATGAAGTACGGAATAATTTTTTGGGGTAACTCATCTTACAGCCAAAAGATATTCATCTTACAAAAGAAAATTGTTAGAATAATGGCTGGTGTTAAACCAAGAGAATCATGTAAAAATATCTTCAAGAGGCTAGAGATCTTAACTCTCCCATGTGAATACATATTCTCCTTAATGATCTTCATTGTAAAAAACCAAGAATTTTTTCCAACCAATTCTACAATACACAATGTCAACACAAGGAATAAAAATCAGCTTCACAGACCAGTTGCCAGCCTCTCTTGTTTCCAGAAGAGTGCATATTATACTGGCATTAAAATCTTCAACAATCTACCACCAAATATCACAACTCTTATAGATAAACAGGGACAATTTAAAGTAGCACTAAAGAGATACTTAATTACACACTCCTTTTACTCTGTTGAGGAATTTATGCTTCCAAACAACATAAAGTGTATGTAATGTTTTCTCTTGTTTGGAACACAGGGAAAAAAAAATCTAGTATATGTTAATGTATGGATTTATGATGGATATTTTACTACTTTTGTGAAATCCTTACTATTTATGTGAACTTGAATTGTGCATGTATATATGTATTGTATGATTTTTTACTAATTCCACATCCAGTAGGTCATCTGACTAACTCATGGATCTATGGAGTGCTATGTATGTATGTATAGTCATGATACTGCATGATATCCAAAAGTGAGATAGAAAAATTTGAGTAGTAAAGGTTTTGTAACAAATATACAAGCCTAGGAATATCTTCCAAATAGTTCAGAGAGTTGAAATGTATAAGAAAATGTGCATAACATAATTTGAAGCAAATTTGTGGAATATTATTTTATATATATTATATGTATTTCATATATTATATATTTAAATATTATTTTATATATTATCTATACATCACTTCCCCACATGTCTTCATGATATATTGTTTAATTAGTTAAGCACAGAGATAACTCTTTTTTATTTTATATTACAGTTTTCAAAGAGAAGTCTCATGGTTTAAAAATGTTTGAGAAAAATGAAAGTAGGAAATGTAAAATTAAGTTTACTGACTGATTAAACACTGCGGGTAAAGAGAGTAATGCATTACAATATGCTTTGAAAAGTTTCATGTTTGTAAGAGGATATACTTTCAGGTACAATGATTAATACTTAAATAATAATTTTAGGCTTAAGAAGGGGCCAGCATATCATTTGGATCTATTTGTGGTTGCAATTCTGAATGCTGCTTTGTCCATCTTTGGTTTACCGTGGATGCATGCTACCTTGCCCCATTCTCCTCTTCATGTTCGAGGTCTGGCAGATGTAGAAGAACGTGTTGATCAAGGACATGTATATGAAATGTAAGTACACACAAAATGCTGCTGTAATTATGGTTCAGTGGTCCACCACCACATTTATAATTTAGAAAATAATGTTTCTGTTGTATATTCATAGAGCTCCATTTACCACCTTGTACTATATATGACTTGAAGCTTTCTCTGCCACAGCATAAAATTGAGTTTTCTCAGGCAATTAACTGTGTCACTTTGGAGTTAGTGTCTGATATTTGAGGAAATGTCTTTCTCCATAATCGGGGTGGGGTGGGGGGGGGCTGAAGTGGTGAGTGTCATATTTGAACGCCATATTTATGCATGGGGTAAGTTGTCAGTTGCTCTAACATATACCATGTTTGGGGGAAGTATGTGTTGGGACAATTGACAGCTGCCTTGTACATAAATACAGCTTGAGGATATGATGCAAATCACATATACATAATCAGCCCTTGATGATGGATACAGGAAGTTTCTGAAACATCAGACACTAACTCTGTGATGGCATGGCTCTAATATTCTTGTTCATACTGTGTGTTTCAAACTTCTTGTCTTTGTCCTTCATGTTTACCCACATTTTGATCTCGAAATATGTCCTAGCTTCATATCTTGCATTGTTCAGATTATCTCCATTTATATGCTCAGGTACTGAAAACATTGCAATTTAGCTTATTTCTTAATAGTTTTGAACCTCCTTAAGTGAATTGTGGCTTATACTGTTTCAATTTGTAGTAATGGACTCTCTTGGCTGCAATTTTTTTAAATTCTCTACTAGTTTCCCAAGCTCTACTGATACCCACATCAACAACTAAGTTTTTCATAGCTGCAAAGTTGCTTGATATTTTAAACTTGTACTCTTCTTTACCTTCCACTTCAAATAGTTTCTTGAGATTGAATCTCTCTGAATAACATTTTTGCATTGCCTGTTTACTTACCAACAGTCTCCCACTAACTGTCACAACCACCAGACAGTGATCAGTATCACAGACTTTGTATAGGAGAAGAGTTAAGCTCTGCTGTAGTTGTGTAACCTTTATTATATACCAAGTCATAGAGTATCTTTCCTTGTTATCTAAGTTAATTAACTATTTCCATGCTATGAATTGGATATACCACTTTGAAACTGGACGTTTTCTTTGGTATACAATTGGTAGAGGTGTAATTGAGAACAAATTTTTCCTGTCATTTCTTAACTCTGTAAGAACCATTTTCAAACTTAATTTGTAAGTTACCAAATAAATATATTACACATAATCGTCTTTTACTGAATGTCTCAGTCTAGAAATGGTAATAATCAAATTAAATGCCTTATACGTGTAGCTATTTTTTATGTTTCTCTGCATTCTATTATGAGCTCGTTTTTTCCTATTTCTTCCAGAATTGTGAAAGTGAGAGAGACACGATTGACTGGGCTATTTTCACACATCCTCATTGGTCTGTCCATGTTCTTACTTCCATACCCTTTGGCTTACATACCAACTGCTGTTCTGGATGGTTTGTTCCTTTACATGGCAGTTACAGCCCTCAATGGTAACCAGATGTTCGAAAGAATAACTCTTCTCTTTATGGAACAGGTAAATTATAAGTAAGTGCTATGAACTGTAGATGTTAGTTTAAATGAAGAGGAAAATTGTGATGAAGAGCAATGAACTATTAGACAAACTGACAATTATGCCTGCTATACAATTGATTCTATATGAGTTTCTCACACTGATTTGTATTACTGATAGGATCACCTGGGTTTAGCGTTGTGTTGATATTGTAAATATTATCAGCAACAGAGAAACTTTTTGTCTCCTTTAGGAATTTTGCTGAAATTACTTGATTCCTCTGCCTGAGATCATATCTGCTGATAGAGATTTTTGTGGTTTTCCTTAGTTCTTCTAGGAAAATACCAGGATAGTATCATAGGTAGTATAATAATTTTTCTTACATTTCCCATTGTAATCACTTTTGTAATAATCTTAATGAGCCTTATTTGATGTTACAGAACTATGCATGAAATTCCATCCTAAATGGAAAGAATTTCATTCCTGAAAAAGCAGACAGCAAGTCACTCTGAAATATCTGTAATCTTTACCACTTTGATATAGTAATATACCATGAAGACTCTTCAAGGAAAGAATTGAAATATCTGTAATCTTTACCACTTTGATATAGTAATATACCATGAAGACTCTTCAAGGAAAGAATTTCATTATTTTCTTGCTTCTTAGAATACTTAACATTACTCCACCATATGCAGCTGTTAACAATAATATGGCCTGGTGAGAGTATTACAAGTTGCAAATATAGAAGGAAATCGTGAGAAAAATCTTAAACTATTTAAGGTACAATGTTGGAATATTTATAGAGGGACTGAAAGAACTATGGACCATTGATTATCATAGCCATTATATTTTCGTTTTCATGGTTAAATGATGCGGTTTTAAAGATTGTTATCATGCAGCCACTTATTCAGTCAAGAGTATAGATACCTTATTAAGAAACACCTGTTCACTATGCAAAACAGATAAATTATCCTTCTGGTAAGAATCAAATTCAGTGAATGAATGCTTCATATGTGATTTATTTAAATATAAAATTCCTTACACAATTACTAATTCCCATTCTGCCCAGTGTGACTAGTTAAAATTTTTCTTTTCTTATTTCAATTATTCATGCCCTTACATGTTTCGGTCTTCAGAGACCATTTTCAGAGGGACACCCTTACATCAATACAATTAGAAGCCACTATTACAGTACATGATCTAAAATTTAAAATATATACATACAATATAAATAATATATAATTGGGTGTAAAATCTAGTCTTTACAACTACAGCGGCTGTTCCAATACATTAAAATATTTATAGTTAGTTTGCTCAGATTGGAGAAGGATGGAGAAGATCAGTTGGACCGATTATGTGAGAAATGAAGAAGTGTTAATTAGAGTCAGTGAGCAGAGGAATATCCTACACGAAATAAGAAAACGGAAGGCTAATTGGATTGGTCATGTTTTATGCAGAAACTGCCTTCTAAAAGAAGTTATNAATTTCCCCTTCGTTTTATTTGATTGGGGACCTTAGTTAGTTAGTTATTTAGAGAGGTTGGGTTTCCCCATGCACTGCGACCAGTTTAATCTACTGTGCTTCCCTCTATGATATCCTACCAGTCTCTTTACCCTACCGATTAATGGTGCGTACCATCAGTCCCACCGAGCAAGTGAGTTCGGCCACTTGCTTAGCGGTGTCTATAATGCTTTCCACATCTATCAGAGGCCTTAGAGGCTATTGTATGGGCGGGAAACTTGCTGGAATTTGGCTCAGTGATCCCCTTTGGGGATATGAGGTTCTTTTACGTGCCGTAAAGTTACGACACGGGACACACAGCTTAAAGTCCCTCCCNTGAGGTGGGAACGTTACCTCTAGACTACGGAGGCCGCTGTCTGGGACCTTATTATACAAACTAATTCCAATATTTATCACACTCCTCTTAAAAAGAGCTGTATTACAGTGCTGTACATGAAAATTTAATTTTCTTCGTGTGTTATAATTATGAGTGTCCGAATTTATTGCCATAAAAGCCTTGTATTTATTAAAAATATTTATTAAAATTCTCTTCTTTCTTGCCCTTTTCACTCTTATGGTTTTATCACGTCTTAAGGTTTTCTGTTCCAGCATTTGAGATCTTCCAACAGATTCATCAAGATTGAGGTTATAAAGTGGTTGAAATCGGTTATTTAATACAATACTTAAATCGAAATGCAAGTTAACCTTATGAGTTTATCGAGAGAATTTTAAGAGTATTGCAGTAAGTCAAAGAGTCCTACATATGACCATGTCAGTCACTGATCACATTAAGATACTCTACAAGCAACCATTTTTTATCTGTTTCCATTGCTGAATAGAGGTTTTTCTATGCTTACTACTGTCCCTCTAAGAGAAACTCATACAATGTATAGAATTGATGATCTAGTAAAAATACTTTTAGCTTATGTTTAAAGTCTTTACATCAATCTGATTTTCATAATTCCCAAGGCAGTGTATTATACAATTTAATACCCATATTGATAACATTTTTCTTAAAAGTTGATGTGGTACAATTTGGCACATGATAATCGTCTTTCCGTCTACTATTATATTCATATAAATCTGAATTTTTCATAGAGCACAAATTATATTTCTGCAAATAGCACAAACCTCAAAGATATACAAAGAAGTAACAGTTAAAATCTTTAATTCTTTAAAAATAGGTCTGCATGATGTTTTGCTATTTACACCTTTCATTAAACAAAGTATCCTTTTTTGTATTTCCAGTACTTTGTTATTTTTGCTTTCTCCACCCCAAATGTAGATTACATTTATACTGTTCAGAATCAGGTCCAGTGATGAAAATTTTTATTAGCAATGTTGAAACTACAAGGTTCTAATAATATAAGATCAGTATAGTTAGATTAATATTTGCAAATGATGTTGAAATCAGTTGTATGTGAAATATAATTGCATAGCAGTAATACTGTGCTCTCTATTTTCTGTTGAAAAGAGATTAGTATGTAATATTTGTTTGTCTTTTTTTTATTTAGGCTGCTTACCCTCCAAATCATTACATTCGCAGAGTACCACAAAGAAAAATACATGCATTTACAGCATTCCAAGTATTTCAGTTGATTGTGATGTGTGTGTTTGGTTATGCTCCAGTGGTGTATCTCAAGATGATTTTCCCGTTCATCATACTATTCCTATTACCAGTAAGGTGAGAAATTACAATGAAATACTGTCATACAGCTCTTTAGTTCAAAATGACTTGAATAGTATGAAATATTCGGTCATATTTTGGCTTTGTTAAAAGTTTAGAAAAGAAAAATGTATGACCAAAAACTAGGTCTTACATGCAGACAGGAGTTAATATATGTGAATCAGCTGTACAAAATTTGAATGTATGGACAAGAATTAGTTTTTATATGCCTGCAGGAATTAATGTGTGTGGATTTGGTGTACACAATCAATAATTCCTGATGTGACTCTCAGTATCAATAAAAACCAGATAAGATAAAAATGGGCAAAATGAAAGGGCAGAATTATTTCAGTGCTTCATTATTCATGCTGTCTGATTTTCAGTTTTCTGGTGAATGATACAGTTCTGTGGACATTATTTATCTTGTTTAAATAGGACTCACTGTATGAAAGGAATCTTTATGCCAATAAATTATTAACCCATTAAGGTCTGCAGCTTTTTACTATATGACTATGTTATATATATATATATACACACACACTCACACACACACACAAATGGGAGAAGGGGGGGCATAAGTGTTATGGCCAAATAATATGATGTTGCTGAGGAGGTAACATTGAGAAGAAAATGTAAGCAAACTATTGCCTGATTTGCCACTATTTCATAGTTACCATATTTCAAAATTTAGTCTTGATTCTCTTTGTATGTTCATGCAGAGAAGCCTTTGTAATGTCACAAGATGGAGTTGATGCTACATCCACTTACAGTTCATGTTACTTCCAGCAGCAAGATAGTGATAACAGTGAAGTGAGCTGACATGATTTACTAATGCACAGTATTCCAATATACTGTAACGTGTTTGGAAAAGACACTTCCATAGTAACGCAACAACAGTGAGCTGTTGCGTCGAGAGTTTCGAATCTTCACGGTTACAACAAATACACGGAGCGTTCCCACAGAGACAACGCAATAACAGTGGGTCATTGCGTAGGAATTGCAGAATCAACAAAGCAGTGTTTCCACAGTTATAACAGAGGGTTCATTTGCATAGCAGCGCCCGAAGGTATAAAAAGGGGTGAATGCATTCGCCAGACAGTCTCAGGATAGACGCTGAGAGATACAGAAGTCAGTCTTCAGGAAGCTGCCTCTGAAGATAGGTGAGATCTAGTCGCCATACAAGACGGTTGGAAGGTAGCTGCCGCGGAATTCAGTTAAGGTGATAATTGTGTGGTGTATAAGTGTGAGTGTCCAATAAAGATTCGCTGAATCCGAGACCCACGTGAATTTATTTGTCGCGTGACATACCCAACACGTGTCAATACATTTAATGTACAGCTTCTGTAAGGTACACGCTATAACTGCATCAAGGTAATACCAGAATAGGTAACCAAATTGAAGTGAAAAAAACGGATAAGTGTTTAAAAAGGTACACTGCAGTCTGAGGGAAGCAAATGTGTCATATGGTTTCTTTAGCTGTCAATGCAACAAATTTTCAAACAAACCAATTGGGTAACAGTGTATTAATATTTGTTTTATTTAGCTTCTTCTAAACATTTCAAACCATGTTTGGATCATCATCAAGCAGTTTCTTAAATACATGCTTGCTACAGAATTGTCCTAATATTGATTCATATTAGTTAGTTAGTTATTGGAGAGGGTGGGTTTCCCCATGCACTGAGACCTGTATTGGTCCATTGTGCTTCCCTCTATGATTTCTACCAGTCTCTATATCCTACCGGTACTGGTGCTTACCATCAGTCCTGCCCAGCCAGCGAGACCAGCTCTACTAGCTGAGAGGTATCTGTAATGCTTCCCCCATCTACCAGAGGTATTAGAGACTGCTGTTGGGCGGGAAACGGCCGTTAATTTGGCTCAGTGACCTCCTTTGGAGATATGAGGTTCTTTTACGTGCCGTAAAGCTACGACACGGGACCCATGGCTTAAAGTCCCTCCTGGAGGACTTGTTCCCTGAATTTTTCCACCCTTAAAAATTCAACGACCTCCGCCGGGTATTTGAACCCGCGTACTACGAGTCATGAGGTGGGAACGTTACCTCTAGACTACAGAGGCCGCTTTGATTCAAATTAGTATTATTTTAAAAATCCATTGATTTCTATATCTCGTTATAATATGTATGTTGGATAGACAAGTATATCATGCCACCAGCACATTTTGGCCATTGCAAATGTAGTGTACAGAATGAAGTGGAAGTGTTAGTTACTGTCATTCTAATCTTTCAACTAACAGTCATCAGATTGCATATGAAATGGGTCTCTCTCAGAGTGCAGTTTCATATACACTACATGAGAACCAGGTGTATACTTTTCATGTACAACTTATACAAGGGCTACTGCCAAGGGAGAAGAATGTTCTCCCCCAGTTCTCTCGATAGCTGTGGCACAGAACTGTAGATGAACCTGAATTTTTGCACCACGTATGACTATTGTGGACTGACGAGGTAAAATACATAATTGGTTGAACATCCATTTTCTAGACACATGGATTTGCTGTGGTGGTCTGATTTTCTGGCTTTGATTTTTTATATGGGGAGTATAAAAAAATACATTTATGCTATGGAAACACAAGATCGCAACTTGATAGCTGGGATGCACATTAATGGCCAACTTAGAAAGCTGTTCATGTCAGCAACTCCATTTGATATTGCTGTGAAGCATACATGCAAGTAGGTCTTGTGAAAAAATATGCAGAACTTTTTGCAAATATCCATTGCATAATCAGATATCTGTGTTAATACCAGTGTGTAATTCAAGCCGTAAACAAGTAATAACTTCAGAATTGCTGCGTTTCATTAATTATAGTTCAAAGTAATAAATAATGACATTAAATGTAAGTAACTGAATATGTGGACAATTATTTCAGTTTCTTAAAAAGTGACACAACTTCAATACTCAAAATGGGTGGCGAACTGAAAAATTTGATTGCACCTTTGGCTTCACGTTATCTCTCCAGCAACCTCCTGAAATTTTGTGACAGAACTTTGAATCATTCTGTACAGACACTGACTCACACATGCTTGCACAAACCTGCATGCACATAGGTATTAATTTTGGATACTGAAGTTAACCAGCAATCCTAGTTGATTTACCAACAACAGAATTCAGTGTTCAGCTTGTCATTTGGCAGCATGAAACACGTTCTGGTAGGGTGATTATAATAGTGCAATTAGGGTGGACCAAACATGCATCTTGAATAGAAAAGGAAGAAATAGTGGCAGAATTTTGCCAAGAAAACGTCTTTGATGATTGTATGAAGGATTGTAACTATGGCTGATTGGAAATACCATTATTATCTGGACAATGACTGTTGCTTGAGGCAAATTTGATTTACACAGAATTTTGAGAGCAGGCGCTGCTCTCACCTTAAGTGATTGTTTGTAATTTTAATGAATTATGTTTTGTCTAATGATTAGCTTACTAATCTAATGTTAAAAATGTCCTGGGTTTATTCCCAGTTGCCGTCATTAATGTTACAAAAGGAATCTCCCAGTACAGTTACAATCAATTACCTGAATGCAAGGATGTCATGTGTATATATATACTGTATGTATATATACGTACATATATAACTCCAAAGTGACTACTGTCATAGCTGTACTATAAATGTTATGCTTGAAACTGCCCAATATCTAAGGTTATATATATACTTTGGAGTTTAATAAAGTTAAATGGACTGACCATGATAAACGGTTGTTTATTACCAAAAATAATTATATACAGGGAAATTTCTATTCATAAAATTATTTCAATTGCTTATATTTTTCTAATTCATGCAGCCTTGGAACTGAAAATGTAGAAGACTCCAGGTACACATTTATATTTTTAGGCTGGTACATTGGTATAGCACCATTTCAGTCCCAAACACCATGGAGACCTGCAGTGTCTAGTAGAAAATTTTTATTGTGAAAGAGTTACAAAGGTAAAAACTCTGTGGTTATAGTACAAAGAACATTCTGTTTGAAGTACACATAATGTAAAGGAAAAACAACATACAGGTAGATAGATAAATAAATATATAGATCTATATAAATAAATAAGTAAACAAAGAAATAAGTAGTCGGAAGAAATATGTAGGTGATCTAATCAAGGGAAAACTCATACTGGAAGCCTCTCCAAATGCATTAATTATATGGATTAAGAGCCAGCGAACATTTTGATGAGTCCTATAGAACACAACTTGTTAACTCTTTAATAACACAGATATTAAATGATTTTCAAGGAGTTGTTAGACTTTTTTGAGAAAGAAGCAAACACCTTAAACAGAATATGATTTTGTGATGAAGCCCATTTTTATGTAGATAGTTTTGTGAAGAAACAGAATGCTAAGTACAGGCTTTTTCAAAAGCCAAGGTTTGTCATTCACAGTCCCTTACATCATAAGTCATGATTTATTTACGTCCATAAACTGTTGCACAAGTACAATTGGACAAGTCAGTTTAAATCATCCAGAACACTACAAGTCAGCAATTCTTAAAAATGTACAAAATGATAACACAAGACTAAGAGCAATACAGTCATTTTAGAATCATCCTCCCACTGCTGAAGCTTAGCAAACGTGGATGACAACCCAAAAAATCCAGTATAAAGCAACACGTACACTTATGCTATCTATATTCATCCACACCACATCAAAACCAACCTGAGCCACAAAACTACCATCAATCATTGTTACTAAAAACTCCTGCATAGATTAAAAATAACTTTCTAATTTATTTGTAAAAATTTTAAAATTGTCTATTGTTTTAATTCAAGGGACAGGCTTATGTATTTTCATTCCCATGTTAATTACACTTATTTTGCAGCAAACACTGTTGCATGTTTGAATATACAAATCCTGTTTTCCTTTAGTGTTATACTTGTGAATGTCAAAATAATAATTTGTGTATATATTGTTTTTNTATTACTCTTAATCACTCTTAATGAATATGAATGTTGTGTACACTTTCCAGTATTGGAATATTAGGAGCTGTGTTTGTTTAAAACACAATCAATTCTTGGCTTTACCTTTATGTTTTGTAGGATGCTGTTGCTTTTTTTCTAATGGGTTATGTTGTTTATATCAGTAAGGTCTCTATCATCAGATTTAAACCCATATGTCCTTTCCCTGTCGGGATATCTTGAGGATAGGGTTTTTGACACTAACCTTTGCGTGGTTGGTGATTTAAAAGAGCAATGCTGCAAGTGTTGTTTTTAGTCACCACAGAACCTTTGCAAGATATATTAAGGAATTCACATGATCAGACTTTCATGCATCATGTAGAACAAAGAGGATAAATTTCCTATATGTACAGTGATTTTAAGAATAATGATACCGAGTTTCATTCACATTGTTTCAATTTTATGACAAAATTATCAGTTTAATGAATAAAAATCAACCAGTGCTTATTTTGGATGAATCTCATAAACATCATAAATATAATTTCATGAAATAAAAATTATTATTTCTAATATGTTGAGTTACTATCTGCAAATTGTGGAATGGAAAAGTATACCTTGCCTGGTGTGACTGAGTCTGTGTTAGTGTTTAGAAAGTACATTTTATATTTTGAATGGTGACTCGCCTGCTAGGAGAGGATGTGGTCATAAATAATCTTAGATTCATATCCATACATATCTCTCTTGATTACTAGTATTGCAATGTTTCTTGGATCCTAGGCAGAGCTTAAGGAGTTATTGCCACTACTTCCCTAAAGAATATTATTAGGTTAGGTAAAAGGTAAAGGTAAAGTTGTCCCTATGTTTAAGTAATTAAACATTACACCATAGAGGTATATGTGTGAGTGGCTGTATAAAGCCACATTTTCTTGACCTCGGCACTAAGTGGAGGTGAGTGGTACCCATTGGGTAGAAGGTTGGATGGTCCCCAGAACCAGTCTGGATGACATGGAACAGATAAAATTCTTGCCCCTACTGGGACTCAAACTCCAACCCCATAGCCAGTCTCTATACCCACTGTGATGTTTCATTAGGTACAGTATTTAATTACATGTACCATACATCAAGAAATGACAAACATAAGTGAACAGTGGTATTAAAAAACTGGTGAATATGAAATATAAATACAAAGTACGTTGAAATTGTTAATATTTCAACTTACTTATTTACTTATTCAACTTATTTGACAAATGACAAATTTACATTAAAATGTTGAATATTTGAAGACTATAGAGGGGCTTTTTAGGACTTCAGTCTAAGGTGTGATTGAGCTCCCCTTTCTCCACACTTATGGCCCTGCTACCAATGCTCTGTTTTCTTGTATTATTTTGCATTGGTTTCACAATAGCTGAATGATTACACAAGGTATAAAAAGACAAGATATTTACTATTTTGAGAATTAAGGGGGTAACAGAAAAATTGATGTGTTGAACAATCACAAGATTAAAGTTAAATCATATTTTATTAGCTTCTTTATGTAATAGGTTTCCAGGTTTATGTGTTACACTGCCAAATTAAACTTATTCTCAATGTCAGACAGAGAGAGAAAGAATATTTGCATGCCTGAGAACTCTAGAGAAATTTGAATATGATGAGTAATATTTCTATCTATTGCAGGCATCGCCTGGTACCAATGTTCATTGAAGACAGATATCTGGAAGCTCTGGATGGAGAACATCAATAATTCACAACTTACACTGAAACATTTATTCATACAATATTGAAGAAAATCTTGTTTTCTGTATTCATTTTTTCAGGGGTTTAAATTTTTCATTGTCTTGAATTTAATTCATATATTTCTATAGATTTCTGATGTTACACACCTCAGATACAAATAATATATTTCATTGTGTATGACCTCAAGAAATATGCAAGTAATCAGCAAAAATGTCATGAAACATAATACATGTTTACATTTGAGGTTCTCATAGTGGTTGGTATGGAGAGTTATATATCTTGGGATAAATGTTGTGCAGTCCGGTGAAAGTCAACTGATATTTCAGAGGAATATATCACCTCCATTTTCAAGGTCGAAAAATAAGTCAAACAAGAGACTAATATGAAGCAAGCAGAACTCTGTTGTTTCATTTCTGGAGAAAATCATGAAAATCACGGCAGTAGTTTGCAGTATCCTGACCGAGATTTGAACCAGGCACTTCCAGAGTATAGAAGTGATATTGTTTGATGATAGGTTATTCTTTGTCTTTTATACAGCAGCTGAATAGAACATAAATACATACATACATACTCATTCTATATCCAGTGGTTTGTGAATATACTTCTCAACCTGTATCTGCCTCTGCTTGAGTTTGAAATAAATGAACATGAACATACATATATTTCACATTTCACAAGTCTAGTGTCTAGTGTAGCCTGATCACTCAGTGCTATATTTTTTATAACAGTGTGACCTATGGTTCAGGTCAAGTGAAGGAGCCTGCACTGGCTGTGTACTTCACGTGAAACACATTTTTGACTTCACAAGAAGCATATAAACCAGAGTGGCATACATTCACCACAAAATAATATGTGTTAGTAAATTAACATTTTTCACTTCACTGTAATTATGTTGACAGATCATCAGTAACAATAATCACAGAATGAAGCTTAATTACCTGCTAATGCAGTAAACAAGAGAATATTGCTTCTTGTGGTGCATGTGGCTGAGTGAATAAGTTCCTAAGTGGAGAGTGTACAGAAAGACATGAAACTGTAGTGTGCAAAACCATGTAAAAATTCATAATGGTAGAAAATAATGCAGTCAGTTTTGTTAATTCCGGATTCCTGTTATTAATGATGAAATGAAAGTAATGGTAGTACACAGCATATTTAAATGGTTTTCTCAGAATGAAAAAAATTATAAAGAGTTCCTTTCTGCATTGACCTATTCTAGAAGTGATGCAAAAAAGGGGGGTAGCAAAATTTTCTTACTATAAGCCCATGATTATAAGAACATCTATCAAAACAGTTTTCATCAACATATATTATTGCCATATAGTCTTACACCAATTATGAATATATCCACTCTCTGAAACCCACAGACATTTCTAGACACATCAAAAGACTGGCATGGTACATAACCATTCTGTTATCATATAAAGACCTGTTTTATAAATGATGGCATATGTTTCTCAAAATCAGCATGAAAACTAATAAAATGTCTGAAAAGGGTACCTGTACTTACACAGGAGCACAAAATTATGTACTTAGACATGATGGTTTAAAAATTGCCTATGTAGATAAATGGACTCATTTGAGTTTTTTTTAAGACAGTAGCACAAGAAATGTATCAGGTACAAACCATATTATGACTCACTGCAGAACTGAATTCTTAAATTCAGAAAACCCTGGCAGAAAATGAGGGCAAACAAAATTAGATGCCATACACTGAAGGTTCTCGAAAGCTTTGATAAGAACTCTACAAGTTTCAAGAAATATCAGGATGATAAATTCCTTTGAAACTAAAAATTCTGACAACTGGTATAGGAATTTCCATTCACAGGAAGTGTAATGTTCAGCCATCTTCACTCTCACAGGGATAGGTCCCCAATTTTTATTGCTTTCATAATTTTGGCTCCAGTCAAGTTAATCAGGGTTCAAAATCACTTCACTCCATTCTTGTAAAGATCCTAAAATATCCAGCATTCTCTTCAAACTTATATCACATGAAATATTTAAGACTATCCTTCCAACTGCTGCAAACATGGTAATGAAAGCCCTACCTGGAATATTTCCTAATATTTTAATGCTTTTCCCATCACTTATAAGCATGGACTACTGCATGAATTTATTGAAGAGTGGGAAATGAAATGGAAAATTATATTTGTCAAGATATTAATGTGAATAGCCTCAGATGCTCGTGTATGTTTGCCCAGTTTCCACTTGCACTTGATTATATCTGCAAACAGCTCTGGTATGATGTAGCAATTCCATATTCCCTATTTATTTACCATATTTTCCTGCCTTCATCATTATACTTCTAGCAGATATACTTTCCTTCTGAATGATACTGTATGGTGATTTTCCTCTAGTAATTTAATTTCTTGTGTTTTAAGTTTAAAGCTTGTGAACAGGTATAAAGTCATAAGTTTACCTGGATGATTTTCATTACAGTGATTTTACTCTTTCTCCAATTGTTACTACATACAGATGGGTGTCAGCAAAACTAAAAATACTTGCTCTTAAAGTTACAGTGAATCTGATCACAGTTGGATTTATAAATTTAAGGGGCCAAATGTTCTCTGGGAATGCATTATAATTAACAAGGTGAGGAGAAACTATAATCAAACTTGCTGAAATAAAGGAAACAGTGCAAATACTGGCACAATCACCAAACTCATAAGTATTAGGGAGAAGTTTTAGAACATTCTGCAAATGAGTGACAAGTTTATGCAATACTGTGCATGATGTTGAAATATAAGATAACACACAAATGATCTTGCCCAATTCTAGTTAGAGTGAATATGACATAAAATATTAGATTCTTAATTGATCATGTTCATTTGTTGTGGGTTATCTTGCTACCCAAGAGGAAGACACCAAAATATGTCTTTATACAAGTGCCACATGTTTAATTTACTTTGTAGATTTATCTGCACTTGTCAGAAACATGTAGCTGACCACTCACCGCTATCCTCTCAGAATACCACCCCCCCCACCCGC